ATGAAGACTCTCTCATCAGGCAGGGTGTTTCAAGGGCTTGGATTTTTTTCTCCCAGAAGGTAGTCAAGGGCCAGTCCTTTCTCTGGTGATGCAGGGTTTGAACACCCCAAGCCTGCTGAGTGAATCCTTTACTCCACAGGGAGAAAACGAGGGTAATTCAGATAAGTCTGTAGCTTAGTTAATAGTCTTGCATCAAAGTTTTCCCCCTGGGTTTGAGCATTGTAAACAATAGTTATACATGTTTATAACATTACAGGTAGCTACATAATGGATATACATGAATTCTCTATACTATTTTTAAAAATTTCTCTAAGTCTAAAATTATTTTAAAATAAAATTTCCATGGGAGGCCGGGTGCAGTGGCTCATGCCTGTAATCCCAGCACTTTGGAAGGCCAAGGCATGCAAAGCGCCTTAGGTCAGGAGTTCAAGACCAGCCTGGCCAACATGGTGAAACCTCATTTCTACTTAAAATACAAAAGTTAACCGGGCGCGGTAGAGGGTGCCTGTAATCCCAGCTACTTGGGAGGCTGAGACAGGAAATCCCTTGAATCTGGGAGGCAGAGGTTGCAGTGAGCCAAGATCGTGCCACCGCACTCCAGCCTGGGTGACAGAGGCTCCATCTCAAAAAAAAAAAAAAAAAAATTTAAAAAATCCATGGGAACATGGACAAGCAGTGAAAAAAATTAGAAAATATGTTATCTGTGTGAATTTGGCCCCTTCACTTCATTTTCTCGTGGAGTGGAGCCCAATCAATGACTAATTCCAACTCAGATATTCACAGCAAAATTCTTTCTTTCTTTTTTTTTGTTTTTTAGCACGGGGTTTCACCATGTTGGTCAGGCTGGTCTTGAACTCCTGACCTCAGGTGATCCTCCCGCCTTGGCCTCCAAAGTGCTTGGATTACAGTGTGAACCACCATGCCTGGCCTAGCAACATTCATCACTTACTGTGTATCTGTTGTATGGATGAGGACTCTAATGGCTTTCTTGAGGAATTCCTAAATAAATATTATTTTTGCAGAAATCAAATAATGAGATAATCTTTCTGATCCTCAGTTTCCTCTTTCTCACAAACAGGAATGAAAATTGTGATGAGCTAATAAATTATGTAATCAATGGAAGATTGCTGTTAGGAACGTCTATAGATTCGGCTGGGCGCAGTGGCTCACACCTGTAATCCCAGCACCTTGGGAGGCTGAGGCAGGAGAATCATGAGGTCAGGAGTTCGAGACCAGCCTGGCCAATATGGTGAAACCTCATCTCTACTAAAAATAAAGAAATTAGCTGGGCATGGTGGTGCACGCCTGTAATTCCAGCTACTCAGGAGGCTGAGGCAGAAGAATTGCTTGAACCTGGGAGGCGGAGGTTGCAGTGAGCCGAGATGGCACCACTGCACTCCAGCTTGGGGGGCAGAGCAAGATTCCATCTCCAAAAAAAAAGAGAGAGAATGTCTATAGACTCAAATGTCACTCACACTAATACCTGTCTGTCATTCTGCCAGTGCGTTTCTCTTCTGTGACTCTTTGGGGTTGTCACCAATAGTCTATATAATCAACAAGAGGGATAAAACTGTGAAAAGGATTAACTTTGAGGTAGCGTACCTTCCCTTTACTTCTGGAGGGGGTATTCTGTACCTCTTTAGGTTTGTGTCATCGTGGTCTTTCCCCCACTGAGAGGTAAACTGAATGGAAACAGAGAGCCTTGTCTGTCCCAGGCCTTGCTGCAGTTCCTGCACCTAGAACAGTGCCTGGCACTCAGTAGATACATGCCGAAGGAATGGCTGAGTTTCTCTTGGCCACTAAACCCTTAGTATTGGTACACCTTCTAATAGCTCTGGAGTGTTGTGTCAGAATTTATACACTCCTGGATTATTCCAGGAATTGGAGGAACACTCTGTGCAGATGTTTAAAAACTAATGTCCTGGGCCAGGCATGGTGGCTCATGCCTGTAATCCCAGCACTTTGGGAGGCAGAGGCTGGCGGATCATGAGGTCAGGAGGTCAAGACCACCCTGGCTAACACGGTGAAACCCCATCTCAACGAAAAATACAAAAAAGTAGCCGAGCATGCTGGCACATGCTGTTCACGTGCTAAAGTCCCAGCTATTCAGGAGGCTGAGGCAGGAGAATCTCTTGAACCTGGGAGGAGGAGGTTGCAGTGAACCGAGATCATGCCACAAAAACTAATGTCTTTTAATATTCAAACCCTATATCAGCGTAGTGACTACGAAAGAAAAAAGTTACCTTTTTTTTTTTTTAAGTTACCTTTTTTTTTGAGACAGAGTCGCGCTGTGTCACCCAGGCTGGAGTGCCGTGGCTGGAGCTCACTTCACTGCAACCTCTGCCTCCCGGGCTCAAGCAATTCTCATTGCCTCAGTCTCCCAAATAGCTGGGAATACAGGCACACATCACCACGCCAGGCTAATTTTTTGTTTGTTTCTTTTTGCATTTTTAGTAGAGATGGGGTTTCACCATGTTGGCCAGGATGGTCTCAAATTCCTGACCTCAAGTGATCAGCCTGCCTTGGCCTCCCAAAGTGTTGGAATCACAGGTGTGAGCCACTGTGCCTGGCCAGTTCCCTTCTTTGGATCAAACATAACCAACTGTTGCAAGGGCAGCCCAGTCCAAACAAGGGCATAAAATGAGAAGTGCAGGTGTTTTCAGACAGGCCACCCGTTACAGACCACGTGACTAGGAAAGGCTGATCATATTGGCGGTGGGAGGCTAGCTGTTTTTTTCTCCAATATCCTTCCCATAATTGCTTCTCTTGGGCGGTTGTACGCCAATGCTTTGTCAAACAGTATGTGACCTCAGCAGAACTCACCAATACATTACTGGAGCAGAATAGTCAGTCTTGATAATTAATCCATGGATAAAGGATGAATTGTTCAATAAATGACATTAGGACAATGAGGTAAGCATTTGGGAAAAGAAATGAAGTTTTATTATACCATATATGCTGTGGATTGAATTGCATCCTCCTGAAAGATATGTTGAAGTTCTAAGCCCCGGTACCGGTGCATGTGACCTTATTTAGATAGAGTCTCTGCAGTTGTAATTAGGTTAGGATGCGGTCATTAGGAGGGCCCTAATCCAGTGTGACTGACTTCTTTATAAGAAGAGGAAACGAGACACAGACACACAAAGAGAATGCCAAGTGAAGACAGAGGGGCAGAAGCTCAAGCGATTCATCTACAAGCCAAAGATTGGTGGTGACATCAAAGCGAAGAGAAAGCCACGTAACAGACAGATGCTCCCCCTCCAAGAAAGCACAGCCCTACTGCCTTCTTCCAAACAGAACCAGGAAAGAATAAATTTCTGTTGTTTTAAGTCACTCAGTTTGTGGTGATTTGTTATAACAGCCCTAGGAAATATGTAACATAATATAATATTAAAATAGAAGATTCCAAAAGGTCAAATATTTACGTGTCCAAAAATAAAGCATGAGAAAACATATTGGCGAGCATACAGTTTGAGGAACAGAAAGCCTTTGTTATCTTAACACTAAGATCTGAACTCACGAAAGAAAAGATTGAACATCTGACTACATTAAAAATACGCATTTCTGTATAGCTCACAAAAATGAATGAAGTTAAAAGAAATAGTAGAAGTGTGTTTGCCACATATGACAAGGAGCTTACATGCACAATTCATAAGGGCTCCTATAAATATAAAAATGCAAATAACTCAACATATATATGAACGAACGACTAGACAAAGTACACAAGAAATTCAAATGGCGCCAGGCACGGTGGCTCATGCCTGTAATCCCAGCACTTTGGGAGGCCAAGGGGGGTGGATCACAAGGTCAGGAGATCAAGACCATCCTGGCCAACATGGTGAAACCCCATCTCTACTAAAAATACAAAAATTAGCTGGGCGTGGTGGCGGGTGCTTATAATCCCAGCTACCCAGGAGGCTGAGGCAGGAGAATGGCTTGAACTCAGGAGGCGGAGGTAGCCGTGAGCCGAGATTGTGCCACTGCACTCCAGCCTGGAGACACAGTGAGACTCTGTCAAAAAAAGAAAGAGTTCAAATGACAATAAAACACGCAAAGAGTTGTTCTGTTTCACTGATAATGAAATAAACGAAATTAGGATCAGATATATAATTTCTCCTAAATCATACTGGCAAAGATGAATTAAATTGAAAGCATCAGACACCGACAGTAGCAGCTCCCACATGTCCCAGCCAAAAGGACCTAGGGATGTCAGCTGCAAGGTCAAGGGTGACTCAGCAGACCTGAGTTGACCAAACCCTGCACACAGCCTTGATCAGCTCCTAGGAGATGACCTCTGAGTCCTTGGAGTGTCCCTCCCGATAAGGGTGGTTTTGTATGTCTGAAGCCTTGGGCCACAGCCTTAGTTTATGCCAACGGTGTGATTTATGATGAATGCCTGTTCGGACGCTCTGGGCCGTGCTTTGTTAATTTCATCTCTGTTGCTCTGGGGTTCGAGTAGCCCAGGTCAGTCACGTGGGCATGCCTATGTGACTGACCCCAGTGAAAACGCTGAACACCAATGCACAGGTAAGCTTTCACGGTCGCCTCCAGTGTGCCATGACGCATCGTTGCTGGGGGAAGTAGCGCTATCTGTTCAGAGCTTGTGCTGGTCTCTCCTGGACTCTGTTCTGTGTTCCTTTTCCCTTTGTTAATTTAAATCTGTATATATTGTTTTAAGACTCAGTCTCGCTCTTTTCGGCCAGGCTGGAGTGCAGTGGCACAATCTTGGCTCACTGCAACCTCCACTTCAAATAGCAATAAAACATATAGTGTTTTATTGGGTTCAAGCGATTCTTCTGCCTCAGCCTCCCGAGTAGCTGGGATTACAGGCACATGCCACCACGCCCAGCTAATTTTTGTATTTTTAGTAGAGACGAGGTTTCACCATGTTAGCCAGGCTGGTCTCGAACTCCTGACCTCAGGTTATCTGCCCGCCTCAGCCTCCCAAAATGCTGGGATTACAGGTGTGAGCCACCATGCCCAGCCTAAATCTGTATTTTCAAAGTATAAGAACAAGTTTAACAGCCTTTCTTACTGCTGTGAGTCCTACTAGCGAATCGCTAAACCCAAAGGCAGTTTTAGAATCCCCTTCACAAAGGTCTCTTTGGACGAAGCTGGAAGCTGAGTTCGCACAGCACTGTACATAGCGCCTAGAGAACCTGCGTTACTCAAATGAAAGAACAGAGGAGGCTGGGCTGAGAGGGGGCTGGGCAGGGCCCGGGGGTTGCAGCCCTCCTGGGTACTTATGTTGGTCTGTACTCGGGTGGAATATAGGATGACTGGCCAGTGCCCTGAGCATGGCAGGGACCCCGAAGCCCTCAGGCCTGGCACCTGCACCCGTGAGCTCTAGCCCCAGTCCAGTGTGAGGCAGAGGCAGCGCCAAAGGGAAGTGTTCTTGGGCACTGGGCGCTGGAACTGGTGATGGATGTGCTCTTCCCACACATCTTAATGAAAACAGCTGCGACCCCACTTGAGGCACGGTGCTGGGCAGCCTGTGGCGGGTGTGGGCATCCTACCACAGGTAAGGCCTCACACACAGCTCAGAAGTGTGTGATGTGAAAGTGGTTTTCCTCTTGCTGCGCACTGAATGGTGTAACCCCCCAAATGCATACGCTGAAGCCCTAACCCCTAATGTGACTGCATTTGGAGACAGGCCTTTAAGCAGGGAATGGGGGTTAAACGAGGCTATTAGGGTGGGACCTGATCCACCAGGACTGGGGTCCTTAGATGAAGAGGACCAGACGGCAAGCACGCTGGGGCAGAGGAAAGGCCGGGTGCGCATGCAGCAGGAAGCAGCCACCGCAGCCAGGGAGAGAGGCCTCGGGAGAAACCAGCCTGCCGCGCCTTGGACTTCCAGCCTCCAGGACGGTGAGAAAATCACCCGTGTGCTGTGAGCCTCCCAGTACATGATACTTTCTTAGGGCAGCCTTAGCAAACGAGCAGAACTTGGAGATGGACACAGACTGCTCCCAGGTGCTCCCCGGGCCCGCAGCCCTCATCTTTGCTCCTGCTCTCGTTTTCGAGGGGCCTGTGGCTGTGCAGTCGTGCAGCCGCAGCGCCTCTCCTGCGGGGCTTCCAGGTGCACAGGGAGGCGGAGCCTCTCGGAGCAGACTCATGGGCAAAGCTCTCCCAGCTCCATCTCTGTCTCCCATCAGGGGACAGTCACAGCCAAGACAGGAATGTCGCCCCTCAGCTGGCAGACAGCACTCTGAGCAGCCTGGCCTGGGAGCCTCTGACCTGCCCACTACTTCGGGAGGCCAGTGTCCCCACTGCCACCTCACGTTCTGGGGACCCTGGATTCCAAACCTGCTAGTGCTGGAGAGGGTAGCTGGAGGCATTTAAAACACAGGTGCTGGGAAACAAATCTCTGATGGAGTGGGAGGGGAGAGGGATGGGGGACCTTGCGTCCTAGGCCCTCTGCGATTTTCTGATGGACTCCCTTCTGTGGGAGCGCTGGCTCAGGGAGCTCCTGGCCTCTCCTCCTCTACCACTTCCTCCACCACCTGCCTCCACCTGCTCCCACCCTGATGTCCGCGGAGTCAGGTGTGCAGTAGTCCCACATCCAGGCTCACTGCAGAGGCAGCCCTTTTCAGACAGGAGGCACAAGAGAGGGCCCCAGCAAGTTAGCTTTTACTTTAATATTATTATGTAATGAGTCCAGGCATGGTGGCTCACACCTCTAATCCCAGCACTTTAGAAGGCAGAGGCCGGCAGATCACCTGAGGTCGGGAGTTCGAGACCAGCCTGACCAACATAGTAAAACTCCATCTCTACTAAATATATATATATAAACTTAGCTGGGCATGGTGGCTCAGGCCTGTAATCCTAGCTGCTCAGGAGGCTGAGGCAGGAGAATTGGTTGAACCTGGGAGGCGGAGGTTGCAGTGAGCTGAGATGGCGACACTGCATGAACAACAAGAGTGAAACTCCTCTAAAAAAAATTTATATATATATATATATAAAAAATGTAATTATGTATATTATTATCATCAACATATTTTTATTCTGCAAATACTTATTTCATGCCCATATGAGCAGGCTCTGTGCTAGGTAAACTACCAAGTTTTGTTAATGAAGTCAAACCAAGTCATGGGTTCTATAAAAAGACAACTATTTTAAAACATGGCATAAATGACATGATATAGTTAAGAGTATAAAGACACGACTTGGAACAAGCAAACGTGGGAACGAGGCAAGGAGAACATTGAGCTTCCTCTGGGAACGCATCACTAGTTGCGGATGAAACGTTTCTGCACTGGGCAGGGTGTCAGTCCACAGCCCAACTCTGATTTAAATGTGACCAGCTTGGACTTTGAGAGCAGATGTCGCAGCGCCCCTGGGAGCAGGTGATGCAATCCTCTCTTTGTGCTCTGTTTATAGTTTCTGAGAAGCAGTGACGAAGCTGGCTCTCAAAGTTTGGTCTAATTACTTGTCTGATCTCCCCCAGGGAGATGCAACTCTGTTCTCCCTTGGCCACCAGACAGTGGGGGCTGCAGTCTCTCCTGGAGGAGTGGGGCTGGCCGTTGTGGGCCGGGGAGGCGGAGATCCCTCGAAGCTGGTCTGTATTGCAGGGTATGGAGTAGGGCTGGGGGTTTCTGGGTCTCTAATCTTTCAAAACCGGCAATAAGGTGATTTATCATGAGCCAGCCCTGTCATTCTCTTTCCTCTCTGGAGCCACTGATGAGTCTTCCCCTAAGGAGGGAAGGGTCCCTTTCTCTGACTCCCTTGCAGTTCCTATGAGGCTGCAGAGCAGGGCTCACAGGGACTCTGCCTCCTGCAGGGAGTGGCCACTGTTTCTAGGGACCCTCCCAGAAGGGGAGCTCATTTCACACTTTGGGACTCCATAGAAGCGGCTTCCTGGCAGTTTGAAGAGTGCTTCTCACACATCTTCCACCAGCTTGTTCATCTGCCTATATCTCAGGATGCTTTAAAGCGATAGAAACAAAATTAAGGGTAAGAAGATTAAAATTCATTCTGTGCTTGCTGTGTGCCAGATACGGTATCTGGCATGATACAGATTTTCATTGACATCAGCTCACTGGGGCGATTTACTTCACCTCTCTGTGCCTTAGTTCCCTTATCTTTACTAATAAATCTAATGGTACTAGTACTTAACCAGAGGGATATTGTGAGGAAAGACACATGCAATACACATAAAAGACTCAGAACAGATCCTGGGCCAGGTAGCATTCAATAAATGTGATGAGCTATTTCATCGTCCTCCTCTCCATCAAGGTAGATATTTAACCCATTTTACAGATGAAAAGGCAGAGGCCCAGGGAGTAGAGTCTCCCTCACAAAGACCTCCTGAGGGAAGTCCTACCACCCCAATTCAACCTAGCCCAGAGTCCTCCTTGACCTCACATTTAGGAAGTAGAAAAGTTCCTTTTTCAAGTTTCCTTTCTTGTTAAAGAATAAGTGTGCTAATAACTTTGTTAAGCCCTATCCTATGTAACTATTAGACATGCCATGCTTACAGACATGTAGTACATTCTATGTCCTTGTACTTTAACCAAGGTATCTGTGCTGGATGTGCTCACAGGCATGTCCCAGCTCTCCATTGCTTTCACCTATTTAGAAAAGTTTTAAGTTCTTAGCCAATCTGGTTTTAGTTTACATTGTGAGGTCTGGTTCCAACCAATGGAGACCAGACACAGCGGTTAGGACAACCCCAAATGGGTTAAATTCGTGTGTTTTCCTTTATTCATTGTACTCTTGTGGCAAGGTGGCTAGTGAGAGTACCCTTCCTGCATTCCAGGCAATAAAAATTGCATTGCTGAAAGATCCTTTGTCTCAGTGCTGATTTTTCTTTGTGGTGCCAAGCATCTATTTCCAGCTTCACAGCATCACAGCTCTCCTATCGGGTCCCAGAGGCACTTCTGAAACCTGGAAAATAATTACTACCTCCCTGTGTTATCATTGACTTCCAGATTCTTCCACATAGGACAGTGGCTTTCAAATTCGTTTGGTTTGGTTTGTTTTTCTGAGGCAGGATCTCTTTCACTCTGTTGCCCAGGCTGGGGTGCAGTAGCATGATCATGGCTCACTGCAGCCTCAACCTCCCAGGCTCAAGTGATCCTCCCACCTCAGCCTCCCTAATAGCTGGGACTATAGATGCACACCACCACACTTGGCTAATTTTTTTAACTAAATTTTTGTAGAATGAGGGTCTCCCTGTATTGTCCAGGATGGTCTGGAACTCCTGGCCCCAAGCAGTCCTCCCACCGTGGCTCCTAAAGTGCTGGGAGTATAGGCCTGAGCTACTGTGTCTGGCCAGCTTTCAGGCTTTGATTGCCTCAATTGGAAAGAAATGTTTCACATCACAACCCAGAACATAAACATATAAACATGGAATCAAGGTTTAATGACACAGTACTTTCTTTCACTGTATTCTCTGTACCTGGTATTTTTCTAGTAGGTTTTTTCTGTGGATGTGTTTTGAGACAGGGTCTCAGTCTATCACCCAGTTTGAACGCAGTGGTGCAATCTCAGGTCACTGCAGCCTTGACCTTCTGGGCTAGCAATCCTCCCACCTCCGTCTCCCAAGTACCTGGAACTCCAGGCACTCACCACCATGCCCAGCTTTTTTTTTTTTTTTTTTAATTCTTAAGAGACAAAGTCTCACTATGTTGTCAGCTGGTCTCCAACTGCTGAGCTCAAGCGATTTTCCCAAATTCTTGTGATTATAGGCATGAGCCACTGTGCCGGCCCTGTTCTATTTTTTAAGCACTGGTTTCAACCGGCCTTGCCTGGCAGTTTAAAAAACACTCGCAGCGGGGCACGGTGGCTCACACCTCTAATCCTAGCACTTTGGGAGGCCGAGGAGGGTGGATCATGAGGTCAGGAGTTCAAGATCATCCTGGCCAACATGGTGAATCCCCATCTCTACTAAAAATACAAAAGCATGGTGGCAGGCACCTGTAATCCCAGCTACTCAGGAGGCTGAAGCAGGAAAATCACTTGAATCCGAGAGGCGGAGGTTGCATTGTCCCAAAACTGCACCATTGCACTCCAACCTGGGCAACAGTGCAAGACTCCGTCTCAAAAAAAAAAAAAGAAAGAAAAAGAAAACCCTTGGCAAGGTGGAGTTGCCAGTGAGGGGCAGGGGGGTCAAGTGTAATCTGCCCCGGGACTGTGTGGCGCAGCCTGAGCAGCCTGTTCAGGGAAGACTCCGACACTCTGCCTGGGTGTCCTGGGCGCAGCTTCCTAAGCATCCCCCTGCCCCAGGGGAGCTGCTCCATCCCCTGCTCTGAGACGAAATGGGCTCCTTGTAGGCACAGAGGGAGGTTTAGTGAGAAGCGCATCTTCAGGGCCTCAAGGATCTGCCAGGCTGGATCACCCAGACTCACTGAGGCCATTCACAGCACCCCCAAAGATGCATTCCTTTAGCATTTGATCACTCAAATTACATGGGAGTCTCCCCTTACATGGGAGGTGCTCCTTTGCTGTTTGCATGTCGGTGGGGAAGGGCCTGGCACCGTAAGGTTTGGAAAATGACCCTCCGACTAGAGACCAGCCAGGGCTAGCCAGGCAGAGAGGAGGAAGAAGGGGGAACTGAAGGGAAATGAGTCGCAGAAAGAGCTGCCCTCCAGCCGTCCTGACTCGCCAGCCTCAGCTGCGGCTCTTCCCCAACCCTTCCTCTCTTCCTGGGGGCACGGCCAGCCTACACCTCCCGGTTTCAGTGTGGCTGTGGCTGAATTCTGGCACAGTGAATGCGCATGGGCAGTACTTCCCGGCCTGGCCACTGAGGCTCCCCACATGCCACGCTCTTCCTCTTCAGCTTGACGCAGGGGAGCCCAGGGACCGTGGGCACCACATGGAAAATTGGGGGGGTCCCACATAGGAGCTCAGGCCCCCAAATCACTGCTTAGATGGGCACCACCTGCTCTTCAAGATCACTCATTTTGAACTTCACATGACTGAAATAAACTTATGTTAAGATGTGGAGACTACCCTAAAAGGCAGATTTTCAAATTTCTAAACTATCCAAGCTCAAGGAAGTAGAGGAAGGCATTCTCAAATTGAATTTAGCAAAAAGTTACTTCGAAACAGGAAAGACTCTATACCAATTGAACAGGGTCTTTCCAAAATGCATGTTCCCCCCAATCTCAGAGTGAGCCCTTACATGGAAAAAGGGTCTTTGAGAATGCTGTCAAGTTGGGACGAAGCCACTCTGGAGGAGGGGAGGCCTTTATGCAATGATTGGTGTCCTAAAAAAAGAGACAAATTTGAGCCGGGAGCAGTGACTCACGCCTGGAATCCCAGCACTTTTGGAGGCCGAGATGGGTGATCACCTGAGGTCAGGAGTTTGAGACCTGTGGCCAGCATGGTGAAACCATATCTCTATTAAAATGCAAAAATTAGCCGGGCGTGGTGGCGTGTGCCTGTATTCCTAGCTACTCTGGAGGCTGAGGCACGAGAATCACTTGAACCCGGGAGGTGGAAGTTACAGTGAGCTGAGATCGCACCATTGCACTCCAGCCTGGGCGACAGAGAGACTTTGTCTCAAAAAATAGAGAAATTTGGACACAGAGACACAGACACATGGGGAGAAGGCCATGTAAAGACACAGGCAGAGATTGGAGCTACGAACTAAAGACACCGGGGATGTCTGTGACCACCAGCATGAGGGGAGGTAAGAGCAGCTTCTTCCCGGGAGCCCTGGAGAGAGGACGGCCCAGCCAGCACCTGGCTTCAGGATTTCTGGCCCTCAGAGCTGTGAGAGAATAAATGTGTGTTGTCTTAAGCCACCCAGATTGTGGTTACAGCAGCCCCAGGAAACCAACACACCCAGTAATCAAAGCTTAGTGCAATTTTTTAAAATTGCATTATTTTTAGCCCAGTTCTGGGCCATGTGCTCTTAGGAAGTGATAGTTCTGATTCCATACTTCCAGCTGGAGGAGACTCCTCCTCCCCTCACCCATCCAGAGAGATCCCCTTGGGGCCAGGCTGCTGGGCAACCTCCAGAACAGAGAAACTCTCCACCCAGGAAGAACAGGGTTCTTTATTTTTGAGATGGAGTCTGGTTCTGTTGCCCAGGCTGGAGTACAGTGATGGATCGCAGCTCACTGCAACCTGCACCTCCTGGGTTCAAGTGATTCTCGTGCCTCAGCCTCCCAAGTGGCTGGAACCACAGGCATGCACCACCATGACCTGCTAATTTTTGTATTTTTCGTAGAGATGGGGTTTCACCATGTTGGCCAGGCTGGTTTCAAACTCCTGACTTCAAGTGATCCACCTGCCTCAGCCTCCCAAAGTGCTGGGATTACAGGCGTGACCCACTGCGCCAGCTGAATGGGGTTCTTCCAGCTGCCAGCTGGCGCCCAGTTGCCCTTGAAGGATAATGTGGTCCACCCTCTGCTGTGATCCCTGCTTGAGCCATGACAGGGAGAGGGAAGCCTGGAAGATAGAGACCCTGAAGGCAGATGTAGGAATCTCAATTCCTGAGGCTGCTCCTGGGACCCAGCCCAAGTGGGTGGATGTCTGTTTGTCAGCCTGGCCACACATGTAGACCAGAACCAGCCAGCTCTCACCAACCTTCACTTCAAGCATTCAGACATACAACAAAGCATGCAGTTGTTGGCTTCTGGAATCAAATTTGAAAAGCAGAAACCTGTTGTAAACCCTTGAGCTAATCAGACTACCTCAAGGAACACTAGGGTGAGTGTTCTTCTCTTTTTTTTTTAGACGATGTCTCGCTCTGTCGCCCAGGCTGGAGTGGAGTGGCACAATCTCGGCTCACTTGCAACCTCGCCTCCTGGGTTCAAGCGATTCTTCCTGAGTAGCTGAGATTACAGGGGCCTGCCACTATGCCCTGCTAATTTTTTTTTTTTTTTTAATTTTTAGCAGAGATGGGGTTTCACCATGTTGGCCAGGCTGCTCTCAAACTCCTGATCTCAGGTGATCTGCTTGTCTTGGCCTCCCAAAGTGCTGGATTACAGGCATGAGCCACCTTGCCCAGCCAGATGAGTGTTTCTTTACAGAGCAGATGTCTTTTTAAATGTGAAGCATCACTCCATGGAGCAATGGAGGCGTATGCTGGGGCTGCAGGAACAAAGTGCCATGAGTAGAGAGGCTTAAACCACAGAAATGCGTCGTCTTGGCGCTCTGAGACTCCATCTCAAAAAAAAAAAAAAAAAAAAAAAAGCCGAGTATGGTGGCACAAGCCTGTAGTCCCAGCTACTCAGACGGCTGAGGCAGGAGAATCACCTGAACCAGGAGGTGGAGGTTGCAGAAGGCTGAGATCGCACCACTATCCTCCAGCCTGAGTGACAAGAACAAAACTCAAACTCAAAAAAAAATACTCACCCTGACAGAGTCAATGTGAGAAATAATGTAAGTTCCTGGCACATAGTAACTGCTCAATAAATGAAAGCATTTTTTTTTTCTAGGCAGAATGAATCTTTGGTGATGAAAGGGAGAATCTGGGAGATAATGGCTGGCCACGGCGGGAGCCTCTGGGGCGCTGCTGAGAGATGGCGCTGGGCAGTGTCATGGGCATGTACTCACTTTCTGATCATCTGTCTAGCTGGGCACTTGATTCATGGGCTTTTCTGTGGGCATTCATATTTCAACACAAAAATAGCTTACCAAAAATGCAAATGAAAGTATCCATTTCACAGATTATGAGGATTAAAGAGGCGAGAAACCTAAAGCGTTTAGCACTGTGCCTCCCACAGTATAAGAGCCCGCTGCCTGCCTGCTGTTGTACAATCCCTTATCCAGAAAGCTGTGGGTTTCCGGCATTCGAGCTTGGGGAGTTGTAGACTGGTAATAAGGGACATATCCTGACCATCACTTACCACCCCCCACATGTCTGGACAGTGCCCCTAGAAAACACACTATCGCTATTCTCACCAATGGATAAAGTCTAGAAAGAGTCCCAAATCCATCCAAATCAATTTTATACCCAAATGGGTTTCTTTGTTTTTGTTTTTTAGACAGAGTCTCGCTCTGTCACGAGGCTGGAGTACAATGGCACAATCTTGGCTCACTGCAACCTCTGCCTCCCGGGTTCAAGCAATTCTCCTGCCTCAGCGTCCCGAGTAGCTGGGACTACAGGCGGGCATCACCACGTCCAGCTAATTTTTGTATTTTTGGTAGAGATGGGGTTTCACCATGTTGGCCAGATGGTCTCAATCTCTTTTTTTTTTTTTTTGAGAAGGAGTTTCACTCTTGTTGCCCAGGCTGGAGTGCAGTGGCATGATCTTGGCTCACTGCAACCTCCACCACCTGGGTTCAAGTGATTCTCCTGCTTCAGCTCTCTGAATAGTTGAGATTACAGGCATGCGCCACCATGCCCGGCTAATTTTGTATTTTTAGTAGAGACAGGGCTTCTCCATGTTGGTCAGGCTGGTCTCAAACTCCCAACCTCAGCTGATCTGCTTGCCTCAGCCTCCCAAAGTGCTGGGATTATAGGCATGAGCCTATAATGTGCCCGGCCCCTAAATGGGCTTTGTCTCTAAATTTATACACAAAAACTGTTCCCAGAGTATTTTGGATTTCAGAATTGTGGATAAGGGATTGTACACCCATATTTTCATCATCATGATGTGCATGATGTCATGTGTTTTCTGCAACTGGAAATGAGATCATTTGTGTGTGGTTAAGTATGATGTGACCTTTCCCGTTCTACAGACATGAAAACTGGAAGAGAAACAGGATTCTCCAGGATTCACCTAAACAGATGCTGCAGTTTCCATCAGACCACAGGCCACCCCTGCACCTCAGTGGCTTCCACAGGTTGGCCTGAGAGAGTTAGGAGGTCAGGGCCCTTCAGAAATTCCCAGACACCAGCTGCTCCTCCTGACGCCAGTTCCACCCTCCACCTTTCTGTGCCCGTCCCAGACCCCGGCAGCCCAGGTGAGGAGTCATGGATAGGAGGCTTCCTGTGGGCAGAGGTGCCAGACTCAGCAGCTAGAAACATAGAATGCTGGGTTAAATGCAAATTTCAGATCAAGGATAAATAATTTTAATGTAAGCGTATCCCATGCAGCATTTGAAATATAATTTAATCAAATCTAACTAAACATCCTGCATTTTGTAGGAAACTCCCCAGGGGCTGTGTCTCCAGGATAGAGGGCCAGTGGAGAATGGCAGCCCACACTGATATGGGGTGAAGTGTGTCCCCCAAAATCAATATGTTGAAGCTCTAACCCCCAGAACCCTGGAATAAAACTGTATCTGGAGTTAAGATCTGTAAAGAGGTAATTATGTTCTAATGAGGTATTTAGGGTGGACCCTGATCCAATAGGACTGGTGTCCTTCTAAGAAGAGGAAGGGACATCAAAGGAGAGGCCACGTGAGGACCCTTGGGAAGGCGGCCACCTGCAAAGACAGAGGCCCTGGGAGAAGCCAGCCCTGCAAACGCCTGGAGGTCCTTGCACTTCCAGCCTCCTAGACTGTGAGAAAATACACTTGTGTTATTTAAGCCCCTTAGTCTGTGGTGATTTGCTATGGCAGCCCTAAGAATCTAATACGCATGCCAACCTGTCCAGGCACAGATGGGCTGTCTGCAGGGAAAGGATGTAAGGAGATCTGTAGGCCTGCCGGGGCTGGACCAGGCGGTAGGGTGCTTGGGAGTGGAGGCAGTTTCCCCCCACCCCAAGCCCTCAGCCCCTCCCCCCGTAACATGCATGCCCAGAGTTCAGTCTGTTTCCAAGCCCCATCCCATGCCTGTGGAGTCAAGGTCACCCCTAGTCTCAGTCTGCCGCTAAGCTCCACTACACCCTCACCCCCACCCCATGGCTTCCTGAACCACACCCCCAAGTGCACCGCTCTGCACCTGGCTTCTCCACCAACCACGTACCCTGGAGTCTCTCCAAGCTGTCTATGTGGGGCAGCCTCCTTTTGAAGCCTGGAGTGGGTGAGTGTTGAGCAGAGGTGATGGCAGAGGCTAGAGCTCGTTTCATTCCTGACCAAGGGAAGCTCGAGGATTCCTTCTGTACCATAAGTGAGTGTTGCCCAGCCTGGGGGCGTGCACACCCTGCCCCGAGACCACTGCTTCAGAGAATGGGCAGCTTGCTCTACCTAGGCATTGCCCACACCTCCCACATGGGCCATCTCCCATTGACCTCTGGAGTCTCAGAGATCCTTCTTGATTTTTTTTTTTTTTTTTTTTTTTTTTTTTTTTTTTTTTT